AAAATTTGCAACGCAGCGCACCACACGCTTTTGCATATGAAACAGCTGCCATGCCCTGACGCCGTTCGCGTCAGTCAACGCCTCCCTCTCGTCGTTCGGCTGCCGCTCCTCAGCACTTTTCGGCATCTCCTCGGCACTCGTCGGCCGCTCCTTGACACCCTTATGCCAAGCCTCGGCACTCGTCGGCCGCTCCTCTGCACCCTTCTGCCGGTCCACGAACCGCTGCATCCGCCACGCAGAGCGCTACCGGAGTTCCGACGGGTTATTCACTGTCCACTTTGCTGCAGCGGAACAGCGTTAATCTCCTCCCGACTGCGCTGGTGCGGATTGACACCGGGAAGCGAGTATTCGACACCGCGGCGCTTATCGGTCCTTGCACGCCTACGAGCTGCATCTTTGCGCCTTCCGACCGACGTGGTGAACAGATCTGTTCAACCACCGTAGGCTCCAAAACGAACGATAACATCCGGCTCGACCTCGTTTTTAAAATTGAGCCTCACGTGCGCATCCGCACTCCAATCCGACAGCTGAACGAAATCGTACTTTCATGACATAACTCTGGCTGATGAGCAGTTCTACCTCCCCGCTACGATATCCATAATCCGGGGCACAGATGTGTACCCGAAGGAGTTTCAGCCGGGATTTTTGAAGATGCAGGATGAATTGCCCGTGGCCCAAAGCACAGTATTTGGATGGGTCCTGTCTGGAGCCTGTCACACGCCGTAACCAGGAACGGACAACCCGAAGCTCCCCCGCTGCTCCAAAGCTCGTCCGCTTACTCTCCCACACTCGAAGCTGATGCGTCGGTTCTGGCCGATCATCGTGTCGCAAGGCAAAGTTCGGGACCGCTCGCTGACTTCAATTTTCTCCGTTCTCCCGCTCCCGCTATGTTAACAAAGTTATGCGGGCGGGAGCTCGGCTCCACTCTGTAATTAGTTTAGTTACATATATGAATCCAAATAAAAGAGACGTGTTACGATTGTGAATATACCCCGATGCCTCCGGCCTTCTAAAATCTGAAACTATTTTTGTTGCTCCATCTTTTTGAAATTCGAGAAGGAGGCAACTCCCCAACCCAACAGTCATCCTTGGCTTTTTGGTAGCCATTTAAAGTCAGTTGATTGTGCTAAGTTATGTGTTCCAAACTTGTTCTATTCCACGTGGCCAAAAATTTTTAAATTATTATTATTAAAATACTGTAGTTCTTTTTAATCTTAAGTATGGCAAATATTTATGAAGAATACTGTTCAAACATGTTTTATATCGAACCTAACCCCAAAGTGCATGTGTTTCGTGGCTTCGAACTAATAATAACGTCGTATTACGTAAACTGCAAATGAGGTTGTGTGTTTATATTGAAATAAAGTTAACATCTTTTGCGCATAGTTGCGCAAATTAAAAATATTTGAATAGTTTCAGGACAACTCAACATTCGCCGTTCTGAACACCAGAGTGCAAGCTTTAGCGAGAAAAAGTTATTGAGCTCTTGGTATCATCCTATTTAAAATTACGATTAAATACGATTTCCTATTTAAAATTAGGGTTGATTTTCATAAAATTAATACCGAAAATCTGAAATAATATAGTTTGGCCATATCTCAAAAATAAGGCAAAAATGTTGAAAAACAGTCAAGTATTTTTTTCTTTTAATTTATTGAACATTTGTATGACAGCTATATGATATAGTCGTCCGATCTGGCCGTTCCGACATATATAGCAGTAAGAGTATATAGAAGACTATATGCAAAGTTTCATTCAGATAGCTTTAAAACTGAGGGACAAGTTTGCGTAGAAACGGACAGGTGGACAGACGGACAGATGGACAGACGAACATGGCTAGATTGACTCGGCTGTTGATGCTGTTCAACAATATATATATTTTATAGGGTCGGAAATGTCTCCGACAAGTTTGCGTAGAAACGGACAGGTGGACAGACGGACAGACGAACATGACTAGATTGACTCGGCTGTTGATGCTGTTCAAGAATATATATACTTTATAGGGTCGGAAATGTCTCCTTCACTGCGTTGCAAAATTCTGACTGAAATTATAATACCCTGCAAGGGTATAAAAATCCGATAGCATATCTGATTTTAGCTAATTCAGTTAATAATAATAATGTTCCTAAAACATCAGGTTGTCAATGATGACACTCGTCACTAGCCTTTTATCACAAAACGCGCCAGGATCTGCTCAACCAAGTTCTGGACGTCTTCCAGTTTATCCAATCCAACCATGAGTCAAATTGGACTCAAGTCCTTGCAACCGGAGGTCCTACCCACTACCCGTACAGCCAGCGTACGCCAACTGCAATTGATTTTGCCATATATGGGGGGATTCGCTCTGAGCTCCTATCTATCTCAGGGAGCTTGGAACTTTGTTCTGATCACATCCCCTTGTTAATTGAGCTAAGAAGTACAGCTCTCAAGGTCTCCCAAAAAACACATATTTTCCCTCGAAACGCGAACACGGTTTCAGGCAGCAATTAACCAGCTAGTAAACCTCAACATGGTCCTGAGATCCCCTGAAGACATTGATGATGCCACTGAGGTCTTTGTGCGAAACATTCACATTGCTGCCGAATCTTCAACCTGTGGACAAGGTTCAATAAACCCATCAGATCCACCTCATGCTCTTTTAAAACCTGAGGTCCTGGATTTGGTGAGGTCGAAAAGAGCCTTGCGTCGCAGATTCATGCGGTCGCAAAATCCGGCCGACAAAAGAGCATATCATCGCGCTGAGAACGATCTAAAGAAGTTGCTGCATAAGACGAAAAATGATTATTTCTCAGATCTACTACGCAATGCAGACCCCACAAAACCGTATGGATTTAACCTCTGGAAAGCAGCAAAGTCAGTTAAACGGCAGACGCCACGCAGAATCCCTATAAAGCGTGCTGACAACACTTGGTGCAGATCGGATGCAGATATTTCTCTGGCTTTTGCTGACGAACTAGAAGGTCGATTTCAGCCGTTTGACTTTGCTAGGAGTGAGGACGTGGAAGCAACACTGGCTTTTCTTAATACTTCCTGCCCAGATGTAGAGCCCATTTGTCATGTAAGTCCGGAAGAAGTTTGTCTCCAAATTAAAAAACTGCACGTTAGTAAAGCACCAGGATTTGACGGAATCGATAATAGAGTTGCCAAAGCTCTGCCCAAAAAGGGCATATTATTCCTTGTGCTCCTGTTCAACTCCATGCTACGTATCTACCACTTCCCCACACAATGGAAGTGCGCAGTGATATCGATGATACCTAAGCCAGGCAAACCGGAGAACCTTGTTGCGTCTTACCGGCCAATAAGCTTGCTGCCAACATTCTCTAAAATATTTGAGAGAATATTTCTTAGCAGAATGATGGCAGTAAGAAGTGTTCAGGATGCCATTCCAGATCACCAGTTTGGCTTCCGGAATCACCATGGAACGCCAGAACAGGCTCATCGAGTAACGCAGCATATCTTAGATGCTTTTGAAAACGGTCAGCGTGTCGTGGAGGCAACACACCACCAAAATAGCAGCAGCATGCCGTGGAAAACTCAGAAAGCTAAACTGGATGCTAAAGTCCACCAGCAAGCTGAGCCTCAGCAACAAAGTGCTGCTATACAAAGAAATAGTTGTTCCTGCTATGACCTATTGCATCCAGATATGGGGTACTGCGTCCGACTCTAACGTAATGAAAGTGCAAAGGGTCCAAAACTGGGCGCTGCGCACAATCACAAATGCACCCTGGTTTGCTAGAAATGCAGACATCGCTAACGACCTCCAAATGCTAACAGTGAGGGAGCAGATCAACAGGCACTCAAGTCGGTACAATGAACGGCTTCTGGCCCACACCAACCACCTAGCGGCATCATTGGCCATCCCCATGTCCAGACGAAGACTGAAGAGACGACATCCAGGTGACCTTTGGTTAAGAGGGAGGCAAAGAACCCGAGTCCTACACCAATAACTGAAATGCCTTTGTAAATTATAAATTGTTGTTTATCGTTTACTGTTATGTTTCCATGTTATGTTTGTTGTTAGTGTTAGTCCCTACGTTTTATAATCATTGATTTGGTTGATTAACGTATAATTAAATTTGAACTTAAATAAAAAAATAAAAAAAGTCTCACAAATTAGAAGATTCAATAAATAAAAGCAAAGCCTAAAAAAAAAAAAATATATATATATATATATATATATATATATATAAAATATATATGTAGATATTGTAGATATATATATATATATATATATATATATATAAAATATATATGTAGATATTTTTTTTTTAGGCTTTGCTTTTTATTTATTGAATCTTCTCATTTGTGAGACTTTTTTATTTTTTTATTTAAGTTCAAATTTAATTATACGTTAATCAACCAAATCAATGATTATAAAAACGTAGGGACTAACACTAACAACAAACATAACATGGAAACATAACAGTAAACGATAAACAACAATTTATAATTTACAAAGGCATTTCAGTTATTGGTGTAAAATTCTTATGCGTAAAGTAATGCACTCCTTCATTAGTTAAAGAGTTTTACATTCACACATTTCGATTTTTCTCTACATGTACCGATCGTTCCTTTGGCATGTAGTTCTCCGATTTAAAAAAAATGTAATCCCAAATTCTGAAATAATACAAAACGTCAAAATCTTAAAAAAGGTTAAAATATGTTTAAAAATAAAATATTCGGATCGTTTTTATGGCATGATATAGTCGTTCGATCCAGCCCGGTCCGACTTATATGTATAATGGTGAGAGTGGTCAGAAGACTTTCATTTTCATTCAGATAGCTTAAAAACTGAGATAAAAAAGGACAGCCAGGCGGACAGACGAACGACAGACAGTGCTAGATCGACTTGGTTGTTGATGCTGATCAAGAGTATATATACATAATAATACTTTATATGAGCAGAAAGGACTCACTGCCTTGCAAACTTTTTACAATATTTATAATAAATAGCAACGTAAAATCAAAATGCAAGTACCGAATATACAATTTTATATTACCTGATTGTTATGCGTCCAAAGTACTGTAATAGGTGGGTCTGGAAGATGTCTAACAATGCACGTTAGGTTAACCGTTGATCCCAAATCAATGTAAGCCTCCGGACCTCCTGGAATGCTGGTAATGGGCTCTAAAAAATAAAAATGTTTTTTACGCAAAAAAAAAAACTTAGAATAATCTTTGAAGATTTTTAAAAACAGGAATGCTAACATAACCAAATAAAACACGGAAGATATAGGTATATAATATATTTTTTCAAAAGCCAAGAATGAGACCACGACAAGATATATAGGAGGTTGCAATTATATTTTATATCGACGAGTTCCAGAATGTATCTTATATTAATAAAATAATGAAGCTATCTTCGGTATGCCAATATTTGTATACTCTTGCAAGTTAAGGCAACTTTATGAATAGATTATACCAGAAACCGTAATTATTATAAGTTATATTATACAAACTAAATGGTAATGCTTATCTTTAAATTTTGTTATTTTATTTTTAAAGACAATTATTAAAAGTAGTGTGGAAAGCACAGAAGCCCTGATTGAATGGTGTGAGGACACGTGAGAAACGTGTGTAGAAGCGGTACCACTACGAAGACGCACTCGATACGGCTTCGAGTGCGTATGCGAGGGAGCGATAGCGTTCGATCCGTGCGATCATTTTCTCACAATCAAATCCCACACCAAAAGGTCACATACAGTTAAAGATATTGAAAGGACAAACATGTGCGATCCATTAAGGGATGGAGGGTGAAAAGATCACCAAAAGCCTGAGTACACCTGCGAAGACACAATGCAATGAAGAGGGAGGGATGAAAAGGTCACAATCAGCCGAGATTTTCGGAAGCGATGGACGCACTTGTGCGTCATAAGCTGCATTCTTCCTTTCCATTCTCCCTTAACATTCGCAACCTGCAATGATATGAATGAAGGCTCAGGTGTTCCACAAAGAAGAGCCGATCGTGTACCTCGAGAACCTCTGCTTCCGGCGGTGTGTGGGCGAGGCGTTATCGTGCTTTACTTGACTGCTGGAATATATCACATGAAAAAAAGAAGAATGAATCAGTACTAGGAAGGACTACGAATTGGACCAGGGACTTAAAACTACGGATCGTATCGATGAATTAATGGAGTTGAGGGGCAATTGGTTCTTGCGGGCAGGCGACCTCCTCCATCGGAAGCAGGACGACCTTCGCAATGGGACGCTTGATGAGTCCCCGCGCAGTACGGATGTTGATCACACGGACATGGCCATCGACTCCTGGAAACGTCAATTCTGCCTAATCGCCACTCATTGGACGGAAGGTTGTCTTCCTTGACGACTAACATATCCCCGGCACGGAGATTTCTTGTAGGAGCTCGCCACTTATTCCGCTTATGGAGTTCCTTGAGGTACTCCTCCTTCCATCGCAGACGAAAGTGCTGATGGAGAGTCTTCTGGTGTTGCCAGCGGTTTATAATGGATGTGGTGACCCCCTTGATTTCGGGTTCAACCACGGCGAGGAGAGGTCCTTCAACAAGAAAGTGCCCAGGCGTAACTGCCAACAAGTCGGCGGGGTCTTCAGACATCGAAGCGAGCGGACGCGAATTCAGGCACGCTTCGATTCTAGCCAGAAGTGTGGACAGCTCTTCAAACGTGTACTTTCGAGTGGCCGTAGACTTGTAAAACAAGGTTTTGAAGCTTTTTACGCCTGCTTTCCACAAGCCTCCCATGTGGGGTGCTCCCGGAGGAATGAACTGCCAGAGCAGCTGCTGTTGACTATAGGCCCCCGTCACAGCCTCTTTGAGAGCGTGGAGAAACTCTCGGGAGAGTTGGGCCGCCGCCCCCACAAAAGTCTTTCCGTTGTCCGACTGAACTTGACGGGGGCATCTTCTTCGGGACAGAGAACGGGCAAAAGCAGCGAAAAACATTTCCGTAGTATGGTCGGACGTAGGCTCTAAGTGGATGGCCTTAGTGGAGAAGCACACGAACACCAACACATACCCCTTGGTGATGAGACAGGCTCGTCCCGTATAATTCTTGATGTCGAAGGGACCGGCATAGTACATGCCGGTATACTTGTATGTGAATGGACGCGAGAAATAGGTCCGTTCCTTTGGCAAGTCTCCCATAAGTTGCGTTTGCAACTTTCTTTTGTGGATGTTACATACCTTGCACGAATATATGACAGACTTAACCAAATTCCTCACCCTCGGGATCCAGAACTTGGAAAGGCTCAGACGGATCATTAGCTAATTACCGCCGTGCAACTTTATCCGATGCGTTAAATGGACGATGAGTCGAGACATATGGCAGTCGTATGGGAGGATGATGGGATATCGTTCGTCGTATTGGAGAAGTTCGGAAGTTGTGACCCGGCCGCCCATGAGCCCGTTAGAGTCAAGGAATGGGTTCAAATTTTGAAACGGACTGGATGTTGGAACTGGTCGTTTTTGTCTTAAGCAGCCCATCTCAAGGACGAAGTGTCTGCGTTGCGTAACGGAAATAAGAAGTCGTTCAGCTGACACGATTTCAGAATCTGTCAAGTGATCCTCTACCGACGACATGAGCTTCCGCGAGCGCTGGATAAAGCGCTTGACGTAGGCGAGAACTCGCAACGCCTTGTCAAGTGTGGAAAAACGCTCAAGAATGTCTTCAGGAGTCACCTTCGCAACGTGGACTTTGACTGCTCGCTTCTCGAGGTCAGTTACAGGGGAGACGTCGCCTTGAATGGGCCACTCGGTTCGAGGCCTTCGCAACCAGGCAGGGCCATGCCACCACAGTTGGCTGTCCGCGAGGTCCTGGAGCGCTATTCCCCGACTGGCGAGATCTGCCGGGCTATGGTCGGAGCGAACATGTGCCCACTTATCCACCTCGGTGAACTGGGTGATCTTGGTCACCCGATTATCCACGAACGTCGTCCAATGACACGCTGGCTTATGCAACAAGGCGAGAACGATTGTAGAGTCCGTCCAAGAGTGCAAAGCGGACGCAAGCCCGGGCATCTTCGGAAGGATAGAGTCCGCCATCTCGGACAAGAACAAGGCTCCGCGTGACCCATCGGGGAATGCGAATATTGTCAAGTGCAGAGTAATTCCCCAGGAAATCAACCCATCGTTGATAAAAATCTTGAGAAAGGGTATCGTCCCACCCTAGATCCTAGAGCCAAATGTCCTGCATAAACATCTTTGCTCGGACAACGAAGGGCGCTAGCCAGCCTGCCGGATAAAAAAGTTTGGCCATTTGAGATAGGACCTGATGCTTGGTGAACGACGATCCCGATATCAATTGTGGCGGAATGAAGAAAAACTCGTCGGACGTCGCTTTCCACCACACGCCGAGAGTTTTAGCCCTGCTTTCTGAGCCGATTTCCAGGAAATCGGAGTGAAGGAGAGGGTCACTCGGGATGCTGGCCAAAATCGCCTTACTATTGGAGGTCACTTCCTGAGCGGGAACCCCGCCGAACTCAGGGCCCCCTGGAGCTGCGCCTCAGCTTTGGTGTCTGCCCCTGCGAGAACGTCGTCGACGTACATAAACTGTCGAATGATCCGACTGGCCTGCGGATACCTGGACTCTTCGTCGTCTGCGAGCTGTTGCAGGACTCGGATCGGTAAGAAAGGGTCACAATTGACTCCGAAGGTGACCGTTTTCAATTCGTAGTCGCGGATTCCCCCCTCGGCATGGCGAAACAGAATGCGTTGGAATGGAGTATGGTTGGGGTCTACCCAAATTTGCCGATACATCTTCTCGAAGTCGGCATTGAAAACGAACCTAAAGTATCGCCACTTTAGAATTTTAATTGTGAGGTCGGACTGTAAGACCGGGACAGCGTAGAGAATATCGTTAAGGCTTGTCCCGTTTGCGGAAGGGCTAGAGGCGTTGAAGACCACCCGCACCTTAGTGGTTGTGCTTTCGGGCTTGAGCACCGCATGATGTGGAAGGTAGTACGTAGCGGAACGGCTCCTCGAAGAAACCTCGGTCATGTGACCTAAGACAAGGTATTCTTGGATCACAGAGTCGTATCGGGCCTTGAGGGGAGGATCCCTCTTTAGGCGCTGTTCGCTACGCAGAAATTGAGCTAGAGCGAGGGATCGTGATGATGAGAGCTCGGAACCACTATGCTCCGGGTCGCGCAAGGGGAGCGTCACTACGTACTTGCCACAACTGTCCCTTCGTGTAGTCACACTTTTTATCGGGACAAGGAAAGAAAACATGTTTTTGTTATCTTTCATATAAGATACTGTTAAAGCCTTAGTTCGGAAAAAATGAAACTGAAACTAAAACAAGAAAGGAAGCTAACTTCGGCACGCCGAAGTTTGTATACCCTTGCAGATATTAGTTCATTACATTTTACCTATACCTATTCTGTTTACAGTTTGACAGTTACAGATTTGCATTCTCAGCTTTACATTTTCTCTACGTCTACCGATCGCTTCTATAGCAGATATATGATATATTTGTCCGATTTTCATAAAAGTATACCAAAATTATGTAATAATAAAATAAGCCTAAATCTCAGAGTAGATAAAAATACGTTAAAAAACAAAAAAGTTATAATTTTTTTTTTTTTCTATTAATTTCCCGATTGTGTAACGAATTATTGGTACTCGGCCTAGATGGAAATGAGACGCAAGGGGGGCGCACGCGAAATATTCCGGCTGCGGCTCGTCGTCCTCGATGTTTTCGAGGAACTAACTGCCCGCCATACCTTGGCCATTCGTACCCTGTAAATATATATTTTTTTTTATCGAATGGCCCCTTCTGGCTGCCGCTGGGTCTCTAAAGGGGAGTCATCCTAGGTGAAGGCAATAAACGAGACAATTAAAACATTATAAAAATATATTTAAGCACTATAAACATTATTAACGCTAAATGACATAAAACAAAAATACATGTAAATAAATATCATAAACCTATAAACCCGATAATTATTACTTAGAAGTCGAAATATAATGTCTAAATAAATTAATGCCAAATTGGATATTCTTATATTGGACTTGCGACCGGCAGCATACGAAAATTATATAAACATTGGTGGCGAGGATAAATTAAATCAAAAACAATTCCGTCGGTAGCGTAAGCTTTTGTTATGAGCTCTCCAGTTGGATGCATAAAATATGCGACAAAAAGAACAACAAAAAAAAC